GTTGAGACGTTTAGGTGCTGAGATGCCTTGGATTAGTAGGGTTTACTCTCTGTCTTTAACATTTTGTCAGGATTTTATTTTTATTCCCTCTTTTTGCTGGTGCCTGTACTCTGCTTTGGGAAGGTGTAGCAGCTAAAGAAGCGTGGAGCAGCAAGGTGAATGCACATGTCCCCAACTCCTGCCACCTGGGTACCAGCTTGCCCAGTTCACAGCTCCTGAAGAGGAAGCCGAGGCTTGACCTTGCGGCACTTGCTCAAGGTTACACAATTAGTAAGGATCCTGGGACTTGTACCCAGTCCTATTTCTCTTTGAAGTCCGGGCCTCCCATCCCCTGCCCCGATTTTTTTTTTAACTAAAGTTAATAAGCAGGCTAGTCGATGGCGGAATGGGGTCAGGTCGCCCCAGATCTGATGTCAGGACCCTCTGCCAGGCAGTCCTTCCTTCCCCCTTCCCGAGTCCAGCCCCATTGTCCAGGTGGGCACTGTGCACTGCCAGGCAGCACTGACCGGCACACAGTGGGAGCTGGCCAGGAGAGGATGGGCACCCTCCTGTTCGCATGTAACTCACTTTATCGTTCTTCTTTGGCACCAAAACTCTTCAGAGGTGCGTCTCCAGGAAGCCCATGCTCCTCCCCTTGGCCAGAGGGAAATCCCACGGAGACCCAAGAGGCTGTCGCATAAGTACAGCGTGAGTGCTAGTCCATCCCAGCCCACTGTAGCTGCAAAGAGGCCATTTCTTCTTCCTTCTTTGCCTTCTTTTTTGATACTCCATGTTCCAGATGGAGAAGTGGCTAGATAAGCGAACTGCAGATAAGTGAGGTCAAGGATGCATCACTCACCGATAATGCTGACATGTAAGTTTCCGTATCTTAACAAAGGCAATAAACGGGAATAGAAATGAGTACTGCACTTGTTATAACAAGGTAAACTTTTCCCTAGGCTTTTTTCTCTAAACTTGCTTCCTTTACTTCCAAATTTCCCCGACAGCATCTTTTTAGATCTCATTGGAAATATCAATTACTGCCAGCACAACCCACCAGCTGCTGTAGACGCCCGACCCGTCATTGCACACAGCTGGCCACACACCAACTTTTCTCGGGCCGTCTTAGGAAGATAACAAATGGAAACAGTATTAAGTAGTTCAGTGTGTCTCTCAAGAATAGGAGAGAACTAGGGAGACTAGAGAGAGTAATTTTTATTAATTACATTCATTTGAAAAACCATTTCTGAAGACAATGCCCATTACGCTGTACCTGGCCAGGTTCCAGTGACCACTGCTTATTGTCTGGAGGCGCCTTCAGATCTGCCACCGCCCTAAGCTCTGCTTAAGGGGTGTCGGCAACAACCGTGGCACAGTCAGTCCAGTCTGACTTCTCTGCATCTAAATTGACATGCCTCTACCGAAATCCTTTAAGATCTCTGTTTTGAACACTGACGTGCACTTTTGGCTAGAAGTAGGCTGTGCTAGAAAAATGTCGGCGATCACCATAACCCTAAAAAATACAATAAAGGAATAAAAAATCTTCAGAAGGTAGGGCTGTAAGTCTGTGTAATCTGTCTTCTGGATTGGCTTACTCATGTGAGTGTTCTGCAAGCTGTATATTAAACAGTATAATAAAGAGTCGTATTGACGATTTACTTTTTCCCACCTATCTTTTGCAAAGTCAGGTCAGTCCATGTTTTTGGGTTGATTTCTTTTTGGAGATGCACTGAGATCTTTTGATTGCTGTGGATTTGAAATAGTTATTGATAGTCGTGAACTTTTTTCCTTTTTGATCAAAATCAGCATGTAACTAGAACAACAACTAGAAGCCTGGAAGAAAATTCAAACTCAATTTAAAAAAAAAGAAATAATAAAATAGCAGGAATCGTGTATAAATATTTCTGAATTAACCTTTCGGCCGTTCGAATTGGTTTTTAAAGAAGCATCTTCCATGTAAGTAGTCTACCTGTAAGTTCTAGTGGGACAGCAGTTATCTTAGGAAACCGACCCCATCAGCCCCGTGGTGATACTACATACATTCATACATATGCATAAATGCGCTTAAATCTAAGAAAAAACGAGACTGCACAACAGAAATTAGAAACGACAACCCAGAAAGTGTCAAAATAAGTTGCCCCAAACGTTTTGCTGTAATAGTTCCATCGTGTTTTGCCATCTAGAAACCTAAAGAAAGGTATGACACATTTTAATTTTTTAAATCCCCTTACCACCGTGCTAGCCAATAGAACTTTCTGCACTGTCCAATATGGTAGCCAATGGCCATATATGGCTACTAAGTACTTGAAATGTGACTAGTGAGGCTGAGGAACTGAATTTTTAATTTTATTAAGTTTTAATTAAATTTAATAGCCCCATGTAGCTAGTGGATACCTTTTTTGGATGTTGGGTACCGTCAAGTCAATTCTGACTCATAGCGACCCCATGTGACAGAGTAGAACTGCCCCATAGGGTTTTCTTGGTTGTAATTTTTATGGTAGCAGATCGATAGGACTTTCTCCTGTGGAGCTGATGGGTGAGTTTGAACAGCCAACCTTTTGGTTAGCAGCCAAGCGCTTAACTGTTATGCCACCAGGACTCCTAAAAAGGTTACAGCTTAGAATCTTTTGAGAAACAATTAACCCATCATATAATATTGAGGGTGCAATTTTTATTTTTTGTGTCTCACATACTCAATAGCACGGCTTTATCAGTTGGTGTGACTTCTTACCACAGTCTTATAAATCCAAACTCTTCATCAAGTTCTTTGAATCAAAACTGGGAATAAATCACACTAGTTACTAGCTTTAATCAAGCATGCCGTCCTTCTCTTCCTCGCTGTATCTAAATGGACTTATAATCTATGCTTTAATGGTCAATAAAATAACTTACATCAGTAACCGTTAGGTTCCAATCTGCAGTCTTGGCCACGTCTCAATCTTAAAACGTGCTGGGTAAGCACGTAGGTCTGTCCATGTACAAGTGAGCTAAGAGCCTGGACTCTGAGTTCACAAACCTGGAATGCTATTTTTCTTCTTTCATGGTGATCAAAAAGCTCCATTAGTTGAGAGATGCTATTCAGACTGAGTACTGAATTAACAAAGTGTGACTGAATTGGACTTCATGAAGTATTCATGAGTTCTCATTTAATGCTAATTAAAAAAAAAAAAAAGGCTATGTGAAATGATTTTAAGACTGGCACAGACTGACAGAAGCATGCAAAACTGAGGTTCAGGGGGAAAATTCAATCCAAAATCACACAGTTGAACTATGCAAGTCAGGAGCGCAATGTTTAAGCTTTTTTTGTGATAATGACTCTCGTCTGCAGCATTAAAATAAAAACATTAATGGAAAATGCCAGTTTTTGCATTCTGGATTTAATCAATCCTTAATGATGAAAGAAATAAAATATTCGTGCTAGTCACTAGTAGTCTGCTCTATGCCTGCCGGACAAGTGAGGATGCCTCGCTCTCTGCTTTTAGAGTAGGTTAAACATTTACATTCAAGTACCTTATTACGAAGGAGCCCTGGAGGTGCAATGGTTAAGCACTCGGCTGCTAACCAAAAGGTCAGTAGTTTGAACCCACCAGCCGATCCGTGCGAGAGAAGACCAGGCGATCTGCTCCTGTACAGATTACAGCCTAGGAAACTCTATAAGGCAGTTCCACTCTGTCCTATAGGGTCGCTGTGAGTCAGAATCAGCTTGACTGCACCCAACGAAAGAAAACAGCAGCAGCAACAGCAACATGTGTGCGTTTGTTTGTTTCTTTACTGCACTCGTTTGGAATTGCGTCTCCAAATTCAGATGCAGAGATGTGATGAGGAAACCAGACTACAGAAACTTGCACACTGTTTTAAAGCTCTAAGTGAAAAATAATTCAGCATGCAAATCTTCAACTCTCATTCTTAGTCTAATTGAAAAATAGTTAATGGGACAGGATTTCCTAGATAGAATTGATTGATGATATCAACCACGACCACCAACTGGATATAAAAATGTAATTTTACTAAGAATTAAAGCTGACAATAGCTAACACATTTTAAAAGGTAAAAAACTTAGCTAAATTAATAATAGCAGTATTCTTGTCCACCCTCTCAGTAAACCCATCTTGAGGACCTTAATTCATTTTGGGGTCCCTGAGTGGTGCTATCATCCTGTTCAGTTGCTAACCACAACAGGTTGGAAGTTCAAATCCACCCAGAGGTGACTTGGAAGAAAGGCCTGGCAATCTACTTCCAAAAATCAGCCATTGGAAACCCTGTGGAGCACAGTTCTACCCTGACACACATGGGGTTGTCATGAGTTGGAATCAACTTGATGGCAATTGGTTAATTTGTCCTAAACAACCTTAAGTTTTCAAATAAGAAATTTTTCTAATTGGAAATTTTAGAGGTGAACAAACCTGTAAAAACTGTAGTTAGGTCTCCCAGTAAATGTTTAGTAGAAGGGACAACGAGAAGAGGGGTATTGTTGTAAAAGCTACACATTTTCTGAACCTTCTGGTAAAGAGAAAACGCCTACTGTCCAGTGAAGGGCAAAGGGAACCGGGAAACGAGACAAGACAGTGTTACCAACAGTGTTCCCACATGTTGCAAAGGACTGATAAGAACTAGCAATGCAGGTCAATTGCAACGCCAAGTGCCCATATATAGACGCCCTGGTGGCACAGTGGTTAAGTGCTCGGCTGCTAACCAAAAGGCCAACCATTTGAACCCACCAGCTGCTCCGCAGGAGAAAGATGTGACAGTCTGCTTCCATAAAGATTACAGCCTTAGAAACCCTATGGGGCAGTTCTACTCCGTCCTACAGGGTCGCTATGAGTCGGGAGTCGACTCAACGATGGTTTAGCACCCATAAAGAAGGGCCAAAGTCTGAAATCGTCTTTCTCAAAAGATAATAAAATAGACACAACGGAATGTTATGTGGCCACTAAAAAGGAGTATTTCTTCCTCATTCATTTTCCTGTTCACAATATATCAAGATGTTCACATTAAGTAGATGAAAAAACATTACAAAACAGTATAGATCAAACAATTCCATTTTTATTTAAAAATAAAATACAACTTATATATCTATGTACATAGGAAGAAGACCGGAAGGGTATACACCAAGATGGCAACAGTAGTCAGTAGTAGTGATGGGATTATAACTGATTTTTATTTTCTCTGGTATTCTTTTCTATGTAGTCTAAATATTCTCTGGCAAACGCTGTCCATTGAAAATAAGGAAAACAATAAAGCTATTTCCATTCTAGGAAAAAAAAGAGTCAGTGGGAGTAAAGTCACTTGGAAAATAGGATACATTTTATCCCAACCTATCAGATCCTCTTTGTTGTAAAAAGATAGAATACTTGTAAATATATTCCATAAACACAGACTATTAACAAAGCATACTTTGCTTTACAAGATATTTATGAATATTTCTCTAAACTTTGAAAGTTAAAATTTTCTTGGAGAGTTTTCTCGCTAAATTTTAGTTCAAATCCCTTTGGATAAATGAATATCTATTCCCTAATGATCTTGTGAAAATCCAGAACTTTGCTTAAAATGAGAGCTATTTTACATTATTTTATTCCCGAGAAAGGAATCCACCATGTGCTGACCTAGGTAACCAGATGATGTGGAATTCCAATAACTGGAGATGAAAAATGTTCGATTCACACTGTCAGTCAACATTTTACCTCTGATTGCTGCATAGTCACTGCAGGTGAAATTTATTCAAAAATTAAAAAGATGGAAACATATGTCTTTTAAGTATTGACCAGCAAGAGCCACTGCAGACAGAAATAGCTTTATTATTTTTTCCATTCAAGTTTTATCAAATGAACTGTTCAAAAAGCATAAACAAGAGCAAAAAAAAAAAAAAATAACACATGCAATCAAACTTCTTTTGCCTTAGAGTCAGTCGCTGGCTTCCTTTTGGAAAAGAATGCACACTTGAATAACTCCTGATTCCAACATTTCCCAACTGTTTCCATTTCATTTCCTTCTTTTAAGTTAGCACTAACAGATACACTTGAGTCAACGGGTCATAACATTCTTTCTAACCTTTATTTATCCTGAAACAATACAAATGCCTATATATCAAACCATATCCTGTTCATAAATCTGAAATCGTTTATTTACATAATAGATTCCAATATGTTAAGAAAACACACACATCTAATATTTGCAAAATGGATTAAAAAAATAGGATAGCCATTTTGAAAACACGTGTAAACAGCAATAATTTCTTATCTAAATAATTTTAAACAAAGCATATATTCATCTGAGAAAAGCTGCTATCTTTTAGAAAGTAAAAAAGTGCTCAGGTTACATTTGAAAAATAAGATCATGAAAACCTCACAGAACTGAAATAAAGTTGGTGAATGAAATGAAGATCTTTAAATAAAGATGGGAGCATGAGGAATCTCTATTACATCTTTGTTCCCAAGCCAGGGAGGAAGGTGTGAACTTATTTGAAATCAGAAGAGGATGCCAATACAAAGATTGCAGACACAGTTTCCTACCTTGAAATGATAATCATCATAACTTGTCTTTGAAAGTCTCTACTGCATCTTCTTGAGATGAAATCCATTAACATAAAATCAGATTTCTCAGCTAGATTGCTCATCAGCTGACAAAACTGAGTCCCTTCTCTTGACAGTCTTTTTCTAGCCCGTTATCAATATTCACTCAGCTAGGATTCAAAAGAACAAATAACTCTCCTGTGAAGACACCCTGCTCATTAAGGCAATGCACTATCTATTCTCAAAACAATAATGCCCAATAGTAACCGAGTAAAAGAAACTTCATGCCCAACTCATTCTGGGGCTTCATGGAGCCAACCTATAAAACCACCCTCAAGGGTCAACACCATGATTCCCGGGCAGGGGTGGTTAATCATTTTCCTCTGAAGGAACTCCAAACGGAATCTGCAGGAAGACACAAGAGTTGTGGTAAGATTCAAGTTTCTCTTCATTTGACACTCAAGAGTTGTGACCTTTGTGAAGATCGTTCCACAAGCTAATCTCTAAGATAAAAGTTGGATGTAATCAAGCTGGTAACATCAACAACCTGGAAATCCAAATGCCATACGCACCATGTACTGACTGGGCCCTACTTATTTTAACAATACTGACGGGACTCAAAACATTTTCTGAAATTTCTTTCAGATATGTGCTCGTAACTTATTCTTGAGGAAATCAAAGACCATGTTGAGTACAATTTTACTTACATTAAAATTATGTGTGTGTGTGTGTCTCAATTCTCTGGCTTTCTCTCTCTCTCTCTGGATGTGGTGGGATTTCAGATTATTTTTACTTTCCTATTTATGCAAAGGAAAAAAAGAAGAATGCTCCATGGATTCTGAAGGCAGTTTCAAAGAAGAATCCTTCATATGGTCTTGGGAGACTATGTTGAAGGACAAAATTCCAGAAGAACGTGAGATCCGTGCGATCAGAGGAAACGTTTTTGCTCACTATTCTATCTGCAGTTAGCAAACTACCTGGCAGATGGCAGATGTTATACACACACACACACACACACACACACACACACACACTCTCTCTCTCTCTCTGAGTGCATAAATACAGTTTATTTCAATGTTGAATTACTAGACATTTCATTCTGAAACATCATTTTATAATCCTTCCTCACATTCTGACTAGCTGAAGGTTATTTTTTAATGTATCTAAATTCAATGAATTGTGGAGAAAGTTTAAAATCACATATTTAACTGACTACAATAGTGGGATTCAGTCTACTGAGCATTATAATATGGCTTTTTAAAAAAAAATCAATAGAAAAATAGGCCAAATGGGGGCTGATAAGGGCTCCACGGCCACACAGCTGGCAGCAGAAGTTTGGGATTCGCTGAAAAAGGGAACCCAAGAAAATAACCCTCCCCTGTTCTTCACCACATCTCTAGCACACCTCCATGGCTGCGCCCACCTCTCTGTAACATTAATGGATGCGTCTGCGTCTCCTCCTGTCTGGGGCCTCCTGAAGGCCCAGGTCTGGCTCATCTTCGTACCTAGCACAGTGCCTGCTACATGACAAGGGTGGACAGGGGACATCTGCTGAATGAGTGAAAGACCGAACCAGACAAAGGGCAGTCTCTGCTCCCAGTTACCGAGGGTAGCATCTCCTCCCTGACTCCCACAGCAAGGGGCAAGGAGTGGACTGTTTCACTTTTTGCTCCAGAACAGAGGTCAAAATGATCCCTGAACTTAATCAAATGTGATTCTTGGCATGGCTATAAAAATAGTCCAAGAGTAACTCATTTTCATCAACAACCAAAGACAAGTATCCTGAGTCCTGGGAATGGAAAATTAGCGTGTATTTACACTTCATGGGGCTTAAATCAAGGCAGGAGCCACCTTTTAAAAAGCAAAACTCAATTTCTTAGATTTTTGGAAATACAGCAAATAATATAATGCATAACATTTTATTGTCCATATTGGGATACTTCTGAGAAAAAAAGGAGCACTAGTAACAATTATTCACGGGAGAAAAACCACGCCAAGAGAAGAGGCATGAACCGAGCTGTCCTGGGCAAGCAGACACTGATGCTGATACAAGATCTTTTTTTTTTTTTTGGTTTGTATTTTCTTTTTTCAAGTTCTCTATTAAGCTACATAATATAATCTTAGGCAGTAATACTGAACAGTAAGTAACAACATAGTTTCGCTGTCTTAGATTTTCTAAGTGATAAAACAGACTTTCAACCTTCTTCCCTTTGCTTAAGGTTTTCTAACATAAACTAATATCTTAAATGGGTCTGAGGGAAGTTTGTTTCAATTTCTCCAATTGGGAAAAAAAAAAGCGTAACTGCGATTTAAATTACTTTCGTTGACTTCCTAATTTTTACTTTCCAAAATATGAACGACAAAGGAAATTCAGCACATCTTGTTCATAAAACACACCCCCTAAATGATCAACCCAATGAGGAGGCTCGGCCATAACATATTTTAAAAATCTTTACATTAATCACGAGAACCTCACAAATACATTGCCACAAAATCTTTCAGAAAAGCTGTGGAACGGTGAAAATGAGAACGCCTGGGGGCTGGACTGTGCAGGGTTCCCGAGGTGAAGAGTGCGCGCCAGGACCCGGAAGTCCACACGGGAGGACGCGGGGGCGCGCACGCACGCGAGCGCCTCTCAGCTCCGGAAGAGCAGCATGCTCTCGGCGCAGCGCTGCCCCACCAGGCGCGCGTACTGCAGCACAGTGGCTTCCTCGCTGGGGTCTCTCTGCCGCTTCTTGTACACGCCGTAAGGCATAATGGCTTTCTTGTAGAACACCTGCAGCCGGTCAGGATCCTTACTCCGGCCTTCATCCACTGCAACGGCAAAGCAAACAGCGATGGCAAGCCGTCACCTATCGAACTACGTTTAACTTCCCATTTAAAAATACAATTTTATATATAAATTTTCATCGGAAAGATAAACAATTACATATTAACGAAGACGTCTACTTTGCATTAAGACTTCGGAAACCTCTGGGGTTCTTGTTTAATATTCCGAAGCGTATGGTGCGGACTCCATCACCAACCTGCCAGATGATGCTGAGACTTAGTGACAACTTTTTATTAATTTATTGAAACACAAGTTAGTTTTCTTAACTGTCCCAAATGCTTTAGTTTTCCCATAGGACACCTGGACTATAAAAAAGGCACTTCAACATCATTCGGTAATATGTGCAGCCAGCACCCGCCAAGTTTGTCAGTACTTTTCTTTAAACCTAACCGTTTCCCTGGGTTAATGCTCACTATGCCTGTACCTATTCGTTTTTCACATTTCACAAAATCCTTGGTTCCCACGTAAGATGACATCAGAGAAGAAAAACTGCATCATTGTAATTCTGCAGTCACATCAATTCAAACTTAATTTCCACATTCTCTTAGGAATAATTTGATATAGTCAACCTAGTAAGCATTCTATGAAGATACTGACATATAAACAAAAAAATAAGTTTCCTTTAAAAAAGAGAATTCGTCCACTTTCTTAAACTGCAATTCAAGCCTGGAATGCAAACTCAGAATTCTGTGTTCTGAATGAAGCCGAAGATATACATCTGAAATTACCAGTACTCTGAAAGAAGGGAATACAGCTCAACAAGACAAACGACATACAGTAAAACAAAGGAAAGATACTACACTTTTAAAAAAAACTTTCGATATTTCAACAACCTGAGGTAACTCGACTATTGTTCTAGAAGTTAGCCACCAGTGAACTTACTAAACATTCAATAATAATCACATTAAAATGTTATATCTTTTTTGTAAACACAGAATTCTTTTTGTAAAAACTCAAATACAGAAATATACAAAATAGAGTGATGTCGGCCCCCACCCACATAATTCTTACTCCTACCACCCTCCTCCTCACCCCACCCACCACACTCTCATCTAAGTTATCAGTCTGTTAATAATTTCATAAAATGCACTTAAATATTCAAATACAGAGTTTTGGATCACCTTCTAGACATACTTTACATTAAGGCTGAAAAATCAAATCAGTCATCCCTTCAGTAGGTATAATGTGCTAATTTCCGGAACCACTGGTCATCATTAGAGACAAAATACATTCCTGGTTTTGGGGCTTGACAGTCTGTGATTTTATGATTATTCAATTACATTCTCAACGAAAGCAGAGTCCAATTCTTTGCATCTTCTCCATAATATTAACAATCAATTTAAAACCTACACAAACAACCCACATATTTACGGTCAACTTATTTCTGAAAAGGGTGCTAAATCCATTCAATGGGGAAAGAAGAGTCTCTTCAATAAATGATGCTGAAAAAATTGGATTTCCCCATGCAGAAAAATGAAACAGGATCCATGCCTCACACCATACACAAAAACAAATTAAAAACGGATAAAGACTTAAATGTACAAACTAAAACCATGAAATTCTTAGAACAAGAAGCAGGAGCAAGGCTGTTAGGCTTAGCTTTCAACAATGGATTATCTACTATAATAACAAAAGCACAAACAGCAAAAGACAGAATAAATAAATGAAACCTCATAAAAATTAACAACTTTTGTTCATCAAAAGACTTTACCAAAAAAGTGAAAGGACAAGCTACTGACTGGGAGAATCTCTTTGGAAACCATATATGCAACAAGAATCTAAAAAAAAAAATGTATATATAAAACTTCAACAACAAAAAAGACAAATAATTCAACCATAAAATCGACAAAGAACTTGAATAGACACTTCACCGAAGAGGACATTCAAACGGCCGCTAAACACATGAAAAGATGCTCAGCGTCATTAACCATCAGAGAGATGCAAATCAAAACCATGAGATATCATTTTACTCCCGCTAGGATGGCTAAGAAAAAAAAAAAAAACCCAGAAAATAACAAATGTTGGTGAGGATGTGGGGAAACTGGAACCTTTATCCACTGCTGGTAGGAATGCAAAATGGTACAGCCATTGTAGAAAACAGTGTGGTGGGTCCTCAAAAAACTAAAAACAGAGGTACCATATGACCCAGCAATTCCACTCCCAGGTACAAACCCCAAAGACTTGAAAGCAGAGACTCAAACAGAGACTTGTACACCAGTGTTCACTGCAGCACTCTTCACAACAGCCAAAAGGTGGAAACAACCTAAATGCCCATCAACAGATGAATGGATAATCAAAATGTGGTGCATACATACAATGGCGAGTATTACTCAGCCAGTAGGAGAAATGAAATCTTGATACATGCTACAATATGGATGGAGGTGGAAGACATTATGCTGAGTGAAATAAGTCAATCACAAGAGGACAAATATTGTATGACTTCACTTATATAAAAAGACAAGAAAAAGCAAATGTGTAGAGAACAAAGTTTATTAGTGGTTAGCAGGGGTGGGAGGGATGGGGAAAGGGGAAGTTAATGGAGATGAGTATATCACATTAAGGGTAGGGCTGCACTGCCAATTATTGTAAGTTCTGTCAATAAGTGGTACACCTGTAAAAAGTTGAACTGGCAAAAGTTGTGTGATACAATATATTTACCACTATGACCAAAAAGAAAAAAAAAAAAGAACAGCTGCTGAGGCTGCTTATGTACAAAAACCTCATGGGATTGGTTTCTTGGTTTGGAGGTTTAGGATCATGCTTTCATGGGATATCCCAGTTAACTGGCCTAATAATATGTTTAGTGCCTCTTTTGTACTTCCTATTTTGATGTGTAATGCCTGGGGTCTTAAAAGCTTGCAAGTGGCCATTCAAGGCACAACAACTGGTCTCTATTTGGCTGGAACAACAGGGGAAGAAGGAGAGTCAGGAATAGGAGGAGGATATGGAATGTGTGGCTAACTGCCTCCATGAACAACTGCCTCCTTTGCCATGAGACCAGAAAAACTGGATAGTGCCCAGCACCATGACTGAATATTTGGATCAAAGATTCTGTAGAAGAATCCTGATCAAAAGGGGGAAAACACAGAACAGAATTTCAAATTCTTATGGACTCCAGACTTCTGGAGCCATGAGGGTTGGATGAACCTCTGAAATCACTGCCCTCAGATAATCTTTAAACCTTAAACAAAAAATATCTCCTGAAGTCTTCTTAAAACCAAACAACAGTTTAGCTTAACTAGTAAAAAACATCTGCCTTGAGCATTATACTCTTAAGAACTATCTGTACGGGCTCAAATTGACAACAGTAACTCAAGAGATTCGATAAGAACCTTAGGGGGGCAGTGAATTCAACGTTAATGGGGGAGGAACAACTCAGAAAAGGAGGGTGAGAATGGTTACACAACTGGAAGAATGTGATCAGTGTCACTAAATGGTACGTGTAGACACTGTTGAACTGGGGTATGTTTTGCTGTGTATATTCTCAGCAACAAAATAAATAAAATTATATTTAAAAAATAAAAATAAAACCTACGCAAACAAACAAAAGTCCCACCAGAGTCACTTCCAGGGTTCACCCTTCAGCCAAAGATTAGGCAGTCCCATAAAACAAAATGAGATTAATGGGGCACAACAGTGCAGGGACAAGGACTAGAAGGCAGGAGGAGACAGGAAAGCTGGTAATAGGGAACCCAAGGTCGAGAAGGAACAGTGTTGACATGTTGTAGGGTTGTTAACCACTGTCATAAAACAACATGTGTACTAACTGTTCAATGAAAAACTATTTGTTCTGTAAACCTTTATCTAAAGCACAAAAAAAAAAAAAACCTACCAGATATGTAAGGAGCCTGATGGCCCAGTGCTTAAGCACTTGGCTGCTAACCGAAAGGTTCGATGTTCAAACCCACCAGCTGCTCTGAGGGAGATAAAACCTGGCAATCTGCTCTTGAAAAAGATAACAGCCTAGGAAATCCTACGGGGCAGTTCCACCCTGCCCTATAGGGCTGCTGTAAGTCAGCACCGACTCCACCACCACCACCATACTTAAATACTGAAAATAGTTATCATCGTGATTAATTTTACTAATATAAAAAAATGCAGCCCTACTTCTCATTAAAGCTTTTATGATGATCTTGAATTATCTGATACGTGCCATCTGTGCTCACAGACAAACCTCCACATAGCTAAGTCCACACAGCACAGCCTGTGCTCATGCATGCCAGGTCTGCTCTTCTTGTGGGGACCTTGAGGATAACGGCAAACTAAGCCATTCGGAGACTGAAGACCATCTGCCATCTGGGCTAAGGAAAACTGCCCGCTTACTGAGCTGTCTTGGAAATGTGTTCCACCAAGAACTCCCTCCACCTTTTCCCTTCTCTGATGTATCACAATTTAATTTCATGACATAAAAACCAAAGGCAATCCTGCAAACCCTTTCCTGAGATGAGCATCTGATCACTACTGATACAAATATGCTGTCAACTCTATGATATTTTAATCTGCAAGGAAAACTCCGCTAACAACTGCTTGCCTCCCCCCCGCCGCCCCACCCAGCCCGAGTGTTTATTCGCAAGAGATGAACTGTGCATCACAGGTGCTTTCAAACGAAAAGAATCCAGAGATCAAAGCTTGCCTTCTATTTATTATGGGATTTAACTCATTTGTTATTCTTAAAGAGACTTTATAACTTCTAGGCTTTCCAGAAAGTGATGAAATGGTCTATTTTTTTAACTTCATTATTTATTGCTACAGCATTATTATATAAACATGAACACACGTTAGTTTCGTTACCGTTTCTCCTAGAGACACCTGTGTAAATGGCAGACACTGTGATGTTCATGAAGCTTAATACAGTTAGACAAAACTGATGCGACTGAAGAATTTCAAATTTTAAACAAATGCATCACAGAGGAAGAAATAATCAACAGAAATCCAACTCTGGAAGTTCGAAGTCAATATGATTTATAATATTTTAGAGAGACAG